GAGAGAGTGATCACACTCTTGGGCTGCGAGCAACACAAACCCCTTTCCCTCTTCTGTGGGCCAAAGGCCTAGTACAGCCTCAACTCCGCACTCCACCGGAAGGACTACCTCGGACAGGGATCCCTCTGCGGAGACCCCTTGCTCCGCATGACAGGCACCAGCACCCCGTCGCCTGGCGAGAGCTCGAGAGGCTCCTCTCCGTCATAGCGGAGGAGCTCCCGACTTCCGCCCCCAGGCTCGGTGCATGACGCGTCGTCCAGGCTCGACAACCGCGCTTCGAAGGCGGCGTAGGCCCTGTCCTTCCGGGTCTTGCTGTGATCCTCGCACCTGGGCATTCTGATTCCCAGCGTGTCGAGGACGTGAAAGTCGGGACCCGGCCTGAAGCCCAGGCCCATCCTTCCGGCGCAGTCCAACGCTCTGCCGCCGAGGATCAGTCCGTGCCAATCGGACGTTCCCCTAGCTGCGATTTTGCATCGCACGAAAATTTCAGTGTTGGGGCGACAGTCGTCCGCCGTCCTGCCTTCCAGCAGCGTGACGCGCAAGACTACTGCCCCCTTCAGAGGAACGGGGGCTCCCGAAGCAATGCCATGCACATATTCGGGGTGGACCCACTTCTCGAGTCTCACGACCGGGAAGCCGGGATCTTCGGTACCGATCCCCAGCTCTGCAGCCCGGTTCATCATGCCCACCACAAGTTCCTCGGTCACGTGGTTTGCGCCGGCGCATCCGTCGAGCATGCACTCGACCTTACGGTCGAGCACCTGGACTACCGTTCTGTACTGGTAGCCTCCTGGCTCGTTGTCCGCCAGGTTCCACCAGTCCTTCGGCAGATCGTCCAGGGTGGCGAACTTGTCCCGCCCGCCCTTGCTCAACGGAAGCGCGTGCTGCTGCACCGCGGCGCGCCCTGCGGCTCCTGAGACGCCTGCCTGGACGCCTGAGCTGCCTATCTGGACGCTGAACGCGGCGAAGGGGTTGGACATGGAAGCACCGGAGGGCGCGGCCCAGTTGGCAGGCAAGGCCGGCGTCCCTCCTGAGGTCGTCAGGTTGTGGACCATGTCGCAGCTGGCTCCTTTCTTGCACGACCCATTCTTGGAGAAAAAGGGGCAAACAGTGCCTGGTGGCTTTGCCGCGCCTTTGGCCGCAGCCTTAGGCTTAGCGCTGGCCTTTGCCTTGCCACCTCCCTTCCCTTTGCCCTTGCCTTTCGCCGTAGCAAAGGTTTGGTCACCCTTCTTGGCCGCGAGAGCTTTTCTGCGAAGCTCCTTGTCGTGGCTGAACGGGCAGGCATCCCCTTTCGGGCAATTCCCGTGGTCGCGAAAGTGGAAGCAGATCTTCTTGTCCGCTCCTTTGCCCGCTCCCTTCGACGCAGCGGCAAACGTCTGATCCGCGCCAGCCTTGGCCGCGGCAGCTGCTCCCTTCGCAGCAGCCTTAGCGGCGGCCTTGAGGCTCCGAATCTCCTTCTGAGCCTCGGCTAGCGCGACCGACGGGTCCGCGCTTGGAGAGCCGGTCGTGGAGTAAACAGAGTGGGAAACAGCACGGTGCGCTGCTTCCCTCTGTTCGTACTCCAAGACGACCTTGTGGCTCTCCTCCCAAGTCTGCGGCCCTCTCAGCCCGCCGTCCTTGGGGTCGCCGGGCCACAACCGCTTGTCGTTACGTATCTCCTTTTGGAGATACGGGGGCATCTTGCGGAGGTACGAGAGGTACAACTCTCGTGGGGTCTTCCCAAGACCCACCGCCTCAAGGTCCGCGATCGACGCCTCAAACAAAGGCTCGAATTGGTGGCCTGTGAGCTTGCCCTTAGCGAGGGAGGCATGCTCACCATCCACGCGGACTTCTCTTTCCTCCCGCGATTCCCCGAACATCAAGTGCTTGTTCTTGATGCGGTCGTACACCGCCTGTGGATCGGAGAGAACCTCTCCCGACTTCCACGCTGCGCGGTACGCGTTCGTGTACGTCTTCATGCGCGAGCCGCGGCAGCGCCCGCGCAGCGCTAGCAGCTTTTCGCGCGCACTCATACCGCGACAGTTGTTGGCCAGCGCGCAGACGTCCTCGAACTCCTCGTAGAACAGGACAACGTCTCGCGCGTCCGACTTGTCGTCGGTCATCGTCGGCCACGTGAGGTCAGTTTTGACCGTCGTTATGGAGCTTTGCCCGCCCCTCTGCGCTAACGCTTCTTTCAGCGCTTCAGTTTGGGCGGCGAGTGCGGCGGCGAAATCGCCCGCCGGGTTTTGGGACCCGGTCTGCGATCCTCCGCCGTCTGAACCTCGCTTCAGGGCTTCTATCTCCATCTCCAGCGCCGCAAGCTTCGCGCGCAAAGGGGAATCGCCGTCCGTCGCGCCCAGGTCACGGGCCGCGGAAGGACCTCCTGCAACCTCGGCAGTGTGCAAACCTCCACGGTCCAAACCTACCCCCAACCCACTTGCAGTCGCAGGCTGTGGGAGCCCTGGGGAACGCGGCCCCACGGCTTCAACTGGCACATCGGACGGGGAGCTCCAGACCTTCTCTTGGCTCGAGCTTTCTTTTCCCCCTAGCGCGAGGATAAGCTCCCCGATGCATTGGATTTCACGCTGAATCTCCTCTGCGTCTTCGGGGTCCTCGCCACCGCGCAAAGCCGCGACCGAGAATCTGGTCCGCAGCCGACGGACCATCTTTGTCGGATGCCAGTCCCCGCCTATCTTGGAGAACTCATCCGCGAGGAGGGTGGCTTTGGTGCTTAAGGCGTCAAGGTCACGGGAGCTCACCGTGACTCCATGCGCCTTCAGCGCGAGGACAATCCGCGAAACGCGCGTCAAGTAGTCCGCGACCGGTTCTTGGTCTGGACGGAAAATCGCGCGCAGCTCCGCCTGCAAGCCCTCTGCGGTGCCTGGCACTGAACCTGCTGTCGACGGCGGACCGGACGGTCCCGCCGGGCGGGACCGGTGCCGTAGCAGGGACATAGGCAGCACCGGTAGGGACCATGGCCAGCTCCCTAGCCGCGGCGCTGACGTCCACCCGCGGCGGACTGTCGCCTCCAGCGCCCGAGGCCTCAGGGACTAGCTCAGAGTCCTCTTCTTCTTCCTCTTCCTCCTCGTCCTCGCCTTCGGCGTCGTGGAGGAACTTCATGACCTTTCGCCAGAGAGCCGCCTCCTGCTCTGGCGTTGTGCTAACCCCATCCCGCTTGGACAACGGACGACTGCCGGTCTCCCTACGCCACTTAAGCCAAGCGACGTAGCTCATCCGCTCGGGATAGGGAACGTCACCACCCTCGATCGCTTCGAGGAGGGTGACGCCCTCGGCCTGACCTGCAACCTCTGCGGAAATCGCCGCGCCTTGGTTAGCAGGCCGCAGGCGTGGCACACGAAGCGCCGCGCCTTGGTTAACAGACCGCAAGCGTGGCACACAGTCCACGCGTCCAGGTCACGGACCGCGACAGACAAGCAAAGCAATGCTTGCCCACTCGGGCCGTAGGCACAAGAGCTGTACGTTTCCCAGAACAGCCCCCAATTGTGAAGTCGACCAGCACTGGACTTGCACTAAACCAATGCAATCACAGCCCGGCCACGCTGTTTTACGACTTCGCGAGTTCAAGCACTTGTGCAGCTACGCCTGAGTGCGTCCGGTCGGACCGCACAGCAACCTAAGAGCTACTGTACGAAACTACCGTGCTCAAAGGCACAAGCTCGGTACTTGAGCCAAAACATTGGCATTGTTACGAATTGCAAAACTACGCATGCAAAGGAAAACTACTACAGTACTGGCCCTGGCAGCTTTGCACATGCAGCGTGCGTGCATAGACCTGCTCACAATATACATATATATATATATGTATATATATATATATATGTATGTATGTGTGTGTGTGTGTGTGTGTGTGTGTGTGTGTGTGTGTGTGTGTGTGTGTGTGTGTGTGTGTGTGTGTGTGTGTGTGTGTGTGTGTGTGTTGTTGTGTGTGTGTTGTTGTGTGTGTGTGTGTGTGTGTGTGTGTGTGTGTGTGTGTATGTGTGTGTGTGTGTGTGTGTGTGTGTGTGTGTGTGTGTGTGTGTGTGTGTGTGTGTGTGTGTGTGTGTGTGTGTGTGTGTGTGTGTGTGTGTGTGTGTGTGTGTGTGTGTGTGTGTGTGTGTGTGTGTGTGTGTGTGTGTGTGTGTGTGTGTGTGTGTGTGTGTGTGTGTGTGTGTGTGTGTGTGTGTGTGTGTGTGTGTGTGTGTGTGTGTGTGTGTGTGTGTGTGTGTGTGTGTGTGTGTGTGTGTGTTGGTGTTGGGGCCTTTGGCGCAACTTGGTTTAGGGTTTCGGCCATGCGGTTCTCATCGGTTCTCAAACTGTGAAGCCACTTTCTTGTCCCTGAAGCCCCATGCCCTAAGCCCTAAACCCTAAACCCTAAGGCTTAAACCCTAAACCCTGAACCCTAATCCTTAAACCCTATACCCTAAGCCCTAAACCCTAACCCTAAACCCTAAACCCTAAACCGCCAAGGGGCTCGGTGGGCCGCGGCCGAGTTTGATGAGACCAAGGCCTGAGGTTTTCTTATAGGGTCCTTAAGGGAGGGGGGTTCAAGGGGTTCCAGGGGGCGATTAGGGTTTACGGTTAGGGTTTAGGGTTTAGGGTTTAGGGTTTAGGGTTTAGGGTTTAGGGTTTAGGGCTCAGGGTCCCGAAGGTTCCCTAGGTACCTACCCGCCATGAACCCCCCTCCCTTCAGGACCCTCTAATGTCGCCCACAGGATTCCAGGAGCTGGAGGGCAAACTTTCCTTCACCTCAAACGCTCAACTGCGCATACAGGGCCTGGGTGAACGCCCTATAAACCACCCCTGCACAGTTTAGCAGAAATGCGTCCGCACGTAAGGTTGAGGCCTTCACAGGCATGGCATTGCATGGATGTGCATGTGTCGAGCCAGCTCTCCAAGAGGGTTGCGGACCGTTCTGTCTTCCCAGCATGGGAGCGGCGGCGTGTCATGGGGGCGTAGATTGTTGCGCCGATCAAGGCAATGCCGATGCAGAAGAAGGTGCGACTCGCAAGACCATCCATTCGATGGAATGCTTTGCAGATACGCAGGAGCCCATGTGCACATTCGATTGCGACGCGGAAGGGGAGCCCATGAAGAATCGTCCAGACATCGACCCTGCAATTGCAACTGCGTCCCTCATGGTCCGACGGGAGCCGCGAGGGAGCCAAAGCCGCTTGGAGCAAAGTGCCCATTTGGCGCTTGATCGCGAAATCGCCCGCTCAGTCCCGCTGGCACGCACTTTGCAGGGTTTGGGCCATCTTTGGCGATCGCGGCCGAACAAAATGAGCCAGGACGAGTTGCCAAGCTTGTGGCAATCTTCCCAGAAGGCAGATTCATACGATGCCTTCCTATCGCACACATGGTGGACACCTGGATACCAGAAGTTTTTGTCTCTTTTGTTGCGTTCCTACTGGCACTTTGCCGTGCTTTCTTTTGCCGTGACGTGCCTTGGGATCGTGATCATGTATGTGTTTGACATCTTGCCCATGCCTTTGACCTTCGCTGCGGAGTTTGCCCAGTGGCGGTATGAGATCCCCTGCGGACCCTGGGCAACCATCTCGGGATTCGTGGTGTCGCTCCTGACCCTGCTGAGCGCCCCTTCTTTTCCTTGCCAGAGATTCGCCGTTTTCATGGACGTGGCATGCATACATCAAACAGATCCTCGGCTGACTAGGCCGACTAGGCCCTTGTGGTTTAAGCCTCGGTGCCTTCGGGCTCGTATTAGTTGCCCTAACCGATGCTTTGCCAGCAAAGGACATGCGTTTGCGCGAGCGAGGCATCTATAGCATCGGAGGCTACATGACCGTTGCCAAGGAGCTGCGCATCCTGTGGTCTGCGCCCTGTCGACATTTAGGGTTTACAGGGCTTAGGTCTTAGGTATGACTGTGGGTCCGCATAATTGCCATTCTTTTTGCCTGGTAGCTTGTTGCTTCATGTTTCCTGGAAGCATCGGGTTTAGGGTTTAGGGGTTTTGGGGTTTAGGGGTTTAGGGCTTTAGGGCTTTGGGGTCTAGGGGTTGGGGTGTTTAGGGTCTAGGGCCTACACTCCTGCAGCATCGCGAGCCGCCTCCTGGGGCGCCTGGGCCCCTCGGCTGCTGCGGGGGACACTGAGCAGAAGCAGTGTCCTGCGAAGAGCTCGCTACGGGTTCCAGTGGCAACTCCCAAGCTGCTGGGATGGAGAGGCATGTATTGGCTTCTACTTGTGATGGGCCCAGCGCCAGGAGCTGAAGTTTCGAATGGGCTTTTCGAGATGGGTGGCGATTTGACTGGTCTTGCTTTATTTACGCCAAGGGTTTCCCCTTCGATGGCATTTGATTTTCCGGGCAGTATGATGCAACACTTTGGGAGCGCTGTTGCAGATGATGAGGTCGGTGTGCTTGTGCAGGCGCAGTGGTGTAAGCCGTCAGCGCCATTGACCTCTGCGGAGTCGGCTTCCTACCTCTTCCTCCATGCCAAGGGGGTAGGGCTCTTGGACTCCCTTTGCAACTTTTGCGAGGTTCCCATTGTCACCTCAGGAGCCGGGATTTGCGAGACTTTTGTTACCAGCCGCCCCAGGTGGCGAGCTGGCTTGCTGGGTGTCAGAGTAGGCGAGGCCGCTAATCCGGGCCCTGCTGCAACAGCTACCGAGCACAAAAGGCGGGAAAGAAAGACGCAGGGAGCTCTGATCGCCATCACTGAGCTTCTCTGCACCATCTTGAGGCAGTTTGCTGGTGAGGACCCTTCGGTTTCCATGCAGATTGCGGGAGTCTCAGCTCTCTTGGCGGTGCTCAAAGATGACGACGACGATGCAGACGATGTGCCGCCCTGTCCCCCAAGGCGCGCTGTGTTTGCTGAGGAGCCGGAGATACAGACCTATGAGGCGGAAGGCTCTTTTAAGCCTGTCAGGCGCAAATCGAAGCCGGCGCCAACTGGGGACGTGCAAGGCCCTGCGCCCCCACCTCAGAAAGGGCGAGGAAAGGGCAAACCTGCAGCTGATCCGTCCACTTCTCCATCCGCGGCAGGCACTACCGGCAAGGGCAAGGATGATGCAGCTAAGACCAAGGACTCGGCGCTGCCTCTCCTCCGTGCATGTGACTGGAACTCTGAGATAGTCGGCTATCCGGCGGCGTGCACTCGTCTCAACAGCTTGGGGGGCTCCGTGCTGGTCACCGTGAAGGATGCAGAGCAGGCGGATGCACTCTCACAGATGATGATGAATGCCGGTTCAACGTGCTCGGCGCGCATGCTGTGGCGCGACAAGGACGGGAAGCATCGGCTACCTGTAGACGTTGGTGGGGTCACAAGGCTTGAGTCTTTCTCATCCCACGACTACACTACTGCTGGCACCCCTTTGCCTACCTTGAAGCGGGAGCCCACGACTGCCAAGGTGGTCCCGACCGACCCTACCACCACGGTTTTCCGCATTGTCTTTGCCCGGCCTTTCGTTGACAAGGAGGTGTGGGCAAAGGTCACTTCTACTCCAAAGGCGGCGGTGCAGAAGTGGGGCAAGGCCACGCAGACTAAGGAGACCACTGGGTTCATCAAGGACGCGTGGGCATTCGCCCAAGAGTCCCGGTTGGGACAGCCTGCTGTGATTGGGCTGATACGCCTGCCCATCTCTTTGGCTGAGCAGGTGCTCGCATTGTCGGGCAAAGGTGGAGTGTTCTTGGAACCCACTGGGCGCACTGATACGGTCAAGTGTGCTGTGCAATGGCTGGACAAAGCTGAGGAGGAGACTCTGCAGTCCGTGTTGGAGCGTGCGCTTGACATGGCCCCGCAGTTTGGTGCTTTCCTTGGGAAGCGGCAGATAGGAGTCCGGGTTCCCCTGGGCACTTCGGCTTCTTCGGGATCCATGCGTTTTTTTTGCAGTCAATGGCACCCCGGCTGCTTGGAGTGACGAGCTCATCCGCGAGCTTCTCATCGAGCAAACGGACTTGAAGGAGGTCACTGTTTTGCGAAAGACAATGCGCAGAGGACGGGCGAACTGGTTGCTGCGAGCACGAATTGCTGACAATGCTGACTGCTACCAGCTGTTGGTTAAGGAGGGCGAGCACACTGCCACTTACTGGACTATGCTGACACGTCCCGGGCCCGTTCGAGAGGCACGGCCTATCGCCGACCATCGGGGCTTCTCCTTGAGCAAGGGCCAGCCTGAGAATGCCAACAAGCCGGAGCCAAAGCCGGGCAAGTCTGATGGTGATGGCAACCCTCTCAAGAAAGCCGCGGTTGCAAAGAAGCGCCAGATCCCGAATGGTACCACGCTCACCACTGTCGAGGCCGATGGCAACTGTTTCTTCACTGTCATCGGCAAGGCGGTTGCTCGTTTGCGCAAGGAGCCGGAGATGCCGGCAAGTAGAACCAGAGCTGAGATCTGTGCTCACATGAGGAAGCACATCCAGGTGTATGAAGAGTACTGGGACAAGTGCGACAGTGCTGGACAAGAGCTCGAGTTTTTCGATGAGTACATCCAACACATGGGCCTGAATGCCAAGTGGGCGGGAAGCCTCGAAGCTTATGCGGCCTCGAAGGCGTACAAGGTCGCGGTCCTTGTCGTGCCGGCCGCCGCCGACCAGGCCACCGCGATTTACAACGCGGGGGCGCGCGATACGATCGCACTTTGGCATACCGAGGGCCCTGGGCACTTTGACTGGCTGGCGCCAAGCACTGGGGACGGCCTGCCGCGGGACATCGCTGAGAATGCCGAACAGGGTAAGCCAGGACAGGGACCACGCGGGGGAGGACGAGACGACTCCGCCGGGTCCGAGCACACTGTCTTCACCGATGTCACGGCCTTCACTCGTGTTGGAGCAGCCCAGTCAGGCAGGAAGCGTGGCAGCAGCAGCTCCCAGCCGGGCTCTTTCCCACGCGGGGGCTCAGCTTACGACGTGGACTTCGACGACAAGTCTGAGGCCACGGTCTTCACTCGCCGGGAAGGCGGCACAGATGTGGCGAACGAGGATGCGAAGACCGTCTTCACCACCTGCTCTGGCGGGCGACGTGGCAACAGCGCGGCTGACTCTTCGTCTGGCGACATCCGCAAGTGGCTTCTGGCTGGAAGGCGTGCGGGCTCTGAGGCCGTGACTGGGGCCACAACGAGAGGCACGACCGACAACCTTGACTTCGACGAGGCCGATTTGGCGGGGTTCCATGGAGAAAATGCTGCTGAGCCGGCGCCAACGAGGCGGCGGACCTTGTCGGGCTGGACTTGCCCGGAGTGCTTTTGGAAAACAGGCAAAGTCAAGTGGTGGGTTCAAAAGAAGCAAAGGCACATCGACAACTTCCACCCGGACCTCAAGGCTGAGCTGAACTTGAGGACCAACCGCGTGTGCTTGGTTCCCTTCAATCCTGACACCTGCGTTTGGCGCTGCCCGGTTGAGGGATGTGGGCTGGGCCTGCCGGCCACTGAGGCGGACTCGGACGCTCGACTTCGTGCTCGGCGCTACCACTGGGCCACCGACCATCCGGACAAGCCCAAGGCGCTCTTTCTGCTCGCCAAGGGCACCAAGGAGGGGGCGAACAAGGCTACTACGGCCAAGCTCTCTGCAGGTGTTGCCAAGCGGCTGCACCAGCTTCGTGCGGGTGAGGCTGGCGACCACGACGTCACCTTCCTCAAGTTGCCGCCTGCGACAAGTGGGGGGAAAACTGCTGGGGGCAAGAAGCGCAAGCAGCGCCGGGCGATGACTTGGGTTGCGTGCCGGCGGTGCAAGCGACTGGCCAACACTGTGGCAGGCATTGGGAACAAGCCGTGCAAGCCGCACACTGCGGGGGCTAGACGGCCCGCGTTGATAGCACGGCTGCGAACTGCGCTGGAGGAGGCTGAGCTTGATGACGACGTCCAGCGCGATGTCAAGTACCTGCTCGAGCTCTTCGCTGAGGATACCGACGCTGGGGGCCCCGTCGCTAAGCACGACCTCAACGCGGTGGCGTGGCCTTTGGGTGGACGCGACTTCGAGATCCGCTTCGTGTGTGGTGGCTGCGGTGGTGGTTGGAAGCGGCTTCGTGACGCCGAGGACAAAGACTGCTACCCCGCTCGACGCCGCGTCACCACTGGCAAGATCCGTGCGCTCCGCAAGGTCGTCAAGGAGGGCGGCACCCAGGCGAAGGCTGCGACAAGCATCCTCGGCATCCTTGGCGAGACGGACGGGAATGGCTCGGACCAGGCTGCGACCACCGAGCTCGCGCGGGGGCTTGGGTACCATGCCTAAGTCTTCTCTTCGGGTGGGAACTTGCAACGTCCGCTCCCTCACTGGCAAGATGGGGGCGGTCATGGACTTAGCTGCAAATGCCGGTGTCAACTTGCTCTGCTTGCAGGAGACCAAGCTCACGCAGGAGGGGTTGCATGCGATGCGCCAAGCCTTTCGGGCCAAAGGGTGGAAACTCTTACCTGGCCCCTTGGCTGTTGACTCGGCTGGCAAGGCTTCTGGTGGTGTTGCAGTCATCACTGACTGGCCTGTGGAAGTTCTCGAGGTGCCGGTTGCTGCTGCTTTCCCCACTCGCGTCATGGCTGTGAAGGCGCACCGCCCTGCTCAGCGGCCTCTCTTGGTCATTAACGGCTACCTCCCTGCTGCTGATGACCAGCTCAACCAGCACATCGCCTCCACCGTGCTTCGCTGGGCCACAACCTCTGGCGAGGACTTCGTTTTCTTGGCGGATTGGAACCGGACGCCCAACCAGCAGCCTCTGTGCGGTTTCTTGGCGGGTGGCCTTGTGTATGCCATGGACCCCGACCCGTTCCTGGAGGGCAAGGGCACGCACAGACTCGAAAACGGCGACTACACTGGCAGGCTCATCGACTTCGGGCTCTCCTCGACGCGCTTGGCGGTGGACGGTCGAGCGCAGCATCTCGGCCCGGCTGACCATGACCTTGTTACCTACGATGTGCACTTGCTCAGTGGCCGGCGTGGCTGGCGTTGGCAACCTCAGCTTCGGCTTGATGAGGACAAAAAGAACGTTGACTGGCAGGCGCACTGGCACAGCTTGGACGCTTCCTTTAAGGTGGCCCTTGACGAGAACGACACAGAGACTGCGTGGCGCTTGCTTTCAGGCGCTGCTGAGGCAGCCTTGGCGCAGGACGGTGCGCGGCCCGCTAAGCCCCGCGGGGTCCCCGGCAAGCCGCTGCTCACTGAGGCCCACGCGGGTAAAACCCCTTCTGTGCAGACCCTGCGCGAAAGGAAGCTTCGCAGGGCTGCGCGGCGTGCAAAGGCAGTGTTGGAAGGCAGTGCTCCACCTGATGGGAGCTCTAAACTCTTGAAGTACCTGCAGCACCTGGCGGACGTGTTCCCGGACCTGGGCCAGGTGGTACAACTTCGTGGCTCTGCGCTCCTTGCTTTCTTGCTTGAAAAGGCGGCGGAAGAGGAGGCAAGGGCAAACCGTGCGCGTCTTGATAAGTGGGCTACGGATGTTCAGACGGACCTCCCTAGGCTGGCAAGATGGGTGAAGGCTTCTGCTGTTGAGAGGCCGACTGCTTTTGAGGACTTTGCGGAGGACCCGGACCCCCAGGCAAAGGCCGAAGCTGCGGCAGTGGTTTGGGGTGACAGGTGGAACAGGCTTCGGCGTCCTGATGGTGCTGCTCTCCATCGGCTTCTTGGCGAGCTCGACATCACGGCTGCGCAGGCCCCTTCCCTTCGCTTGGAGGGCCACGCTTTGCTGCGGCGGGCGAAGGCCACTGCACGTAAGGCTCCTGGTTGCGATGGCTGGGCGGGTCGGCACTGGCGCCTGCTCTCTGAAGACTTCTTCGACCTGCTGGCTGCTGTGTGGAACGCCGTGCTTGGGGGGGCTCCCATCCCTCAGGCGTGGACTCAAGTGCGGATTTGCCTCATTCCGAAAGGCGATGGTGGCTCTCGTCCTTTGGCCATTGCCTCGCTCGCTTGGCGGCTGGGCGCGGCCTGTTTGGTGCAGCAGCTGGGTGAATGGATACGGCAAGTTTTCCCCAAGGAGCTCTATGGCGGCTTGCCCGACCGGAGCGCCGACGATGTGCATGCAGAGCTCACGCAGGCGATGTACGTGCAGCGTGGCGGTGGTCCTTTGGCGGGATGCAAAGCGGACGTGAGAAGATGCTTCGACAGCGCCTCTCCGGACCTGGCTCTTCAGTGCTTGCGCCAGATGGGTGCGCCGGCGCCATTGCTCGATGTGATGGGGAGGTTCTATGACCAGCAGGAGCGCTGGATCATGGTGGACGGGGCCACGTGTCGGCGTCCTCTTCGCGCTTGCGGCTCCCTGCTACAAGGGTGCCCAGTTTCGCCACTCTGTCTCGGCGCCATGATGGTGGTCTGGGCGGCGACTGTGCAGAGGGCCAACACCGGCGTGCAGCTGGCCATCTACATCGACGACCGCACAATGTGGGTTCGCAAACGTTGGGGAGCAGCACGTGCTGTTCGTGATGCCATGATGGCGGGCGCCGTGGCCGACGATGCGCTTGGCTTTACCCTCCACCCCGAGAAACTGGAAAGTTTTGCCACCACTCAGGCTGTGCGCGAAGACCTCCTGGGCCTTGCTGACATCGTTGGCATACCTCAGGTCACCTTCACATTGCTTGGCATCCCTTACAATACCACCCGTGCCGCTCCGGTGGCTACTGCTGGCGTGGCGGCGACCTTGATGGCGCGTTGCAAGCGCATCCAGAAGTTTGGCGGCAGCCGCAGCCTCCGCTGCGTGCTCCTCAAGAAGCTGGTCATCCCGCTCTTCAGGTGGGCGGCGCCTTGGCTCAGGTTCTCCAAGAAGCTTTTGGCTACATGGACGGCGGCTATCGAACGGGCGGCTTGGGGGGGGGGCATCCCTCGTGGGCGCTCGCCGGCCCTCGCCTGGCTGACTGTGGTTGGTGTGGATTTGCTCCCCGCGTACGTCTGTGCCGAGACGGCTGTGCTTCGTGAACATCGGCGCCTTCACTTGCAACGTCACAGCTCGGAGGCCACCTTCACGGCAGAGGCTTTTAAGGCGGTGGACTGGAAGCGTGGCGACGATGGCACTTGGACCACCCGCCATGGGTGCTTTCGCGCAGGGGCCATCAGTGCGGAGGGGCTGCGCAGACAACTTCGGCTGGCTTGGGCCCGCAAGCTCTTGCTCAAGGACAACAAGACCAAGCAAGAGGGTGGTTTCGTTGGCGACTTTGACCTCGCGCACCACTTGACAACGGGCCGACATGTCGACGGCTACAAGGCTAGGGTCATGGCGGGTGCGGCGGCGGACTCTCGCCACTTGGTGGAAAAGGGGGGCACGGCTGCGGACTTTGTCTGCGACTGCGGGAGACGGGGGCCTACGCGCTCCCACCTCACCTTCGAGTGCTCTTCGGCTCCTTGGACATTGGAACTTCGCTCCGCTTTGGAGCGCCGGCTTCTGCTGCCTTTGGGGCCGTCTGCTCCTCGTTGGGATATGGCGGACTACGAGGCGGATGTCGCCAAGTTGGTGCAGCACTTGGCTGGCTTGGACGCGACGCAGGTCCACTACGTGGCTACAGACGGTGGCTGTGCACTGGCTCGCGGGGCGGAGTTTTGGCAGCGCGCTGCTTGGGGCGTGGCTTTTGAAAATGGTGAGTTCGGCGGCTTGGTCTTGGGGGCAGAGCAAACGGCGGCAGAAGGCGAACGGGTCGCTGTGTACCTGCTGGCCATGGCTCTCCTGCAATGTGGGCGCAGTATTCGTTTGCTGGTGGACAATCAAGCAGTTGCTGGGCGTCTTCGGCGCGGCCGCAAGGCGTGTGAGAACGGTGATCCTTGGGCTCTTTGGCGCGTCATTGCTGACGCCGTTCACCTGCTGGACGTAGCCTGGGTGCCTTCACACGGCAAGAAGCCTCTGTGGGGGCCGCCGCCAGATTGGCTTGATGGTGTGGCGTGCCGTGCGCTCAACGCACGAGCCGATGCGGCGGCGACCCAGGCATTGGATGCTGTGAGAGCTGTGGTGGTGGCTTTAGTGCGTGCGGCAAAGGAAAGGCGGGCTTGGGCGGCTGCTGCCGTGGCCGCTCAGATGAGGGCTACGCAGCCCTGGCACGTGAAGTTCGTGGAGAAGATGCGGGTTCTGGCGTTTCGGCGTCGGGCCACTTGATGGGAGGCACTCGTGGTGCACACTGGCGATGGGCGTTTTCTTGACTCCCGCTTGGGAGCTTCTTTAAGCTGCTTTGCAGCCGGACGGGTGGCGTCTAGACAACCTTCCTGGTCTCAGTCTGTCGTCTTTTTCGTTAACAACAACAACAGGTGCCTTACCTGACGAGGTTGTGGTGCATCTTCGAACTTGCCGGATATCGCAGGGCCAATCCGCAAGGCAAGCTGGTCTTCCAGCCCCTGCTTGTGGAACGCAACTTCCTGGTTTTTTGGTTCTGCACCTTCCTGTTCAGCTGCACCTTCCACGTCATTAACACAGGTTTGAGGTTGAGGGGCGCGGTTGCTATTCCCACGCTCTTGGCTTGCGGTGCCCTGCTGCCCGGCGTGCACACCATTCGGAAGGGGTTCCAAGAGCAGCAGCGAAGCCTTCGGGATATGGCGAGCTTTGACCTAAGTCGGGTCTCCTGCTCGAGTGACGATGATCGGCAATTCATTCTCACGGCGGTGGCCGAGTGGTATGGAAGCATCGATGCATTTGCAGAATATGTCCGCGGGCCGCTTCGGGATGAGCTATTGCAGGTGTACGCAGAGACGCGGGCTCCCATGTCTTACTGCCTGCTTGCATATACTCCGCCGGTCGCCATCTACGCCGACGTGGTGGGGGCACTCTGGAAGGCAGGAGCGCCCAGCGAGGTGGCGTGCTTGAGTTGACTAGTGATGACTAGTGTACTACTACCATAGTACAAGAGTAGTGTTATAGTTTAAAGTACTATCTAGGGATAACCCCGCTTCCCCCGACCCCGTAACAGCCGCCCGGCTCAGGCGCAGAGCCACAGGACAAGGGGGAGGGGGTCGGGGGGCAGAGGATGGGTGGGGGGGCCAAGAAGGTGGGGGACAAGGGTTTGGGTGAAAGTAGAGGGCAAAAAAGCTGCTAGCGTTTTCCCGAATGCATGCGACGATTTTCAGCGGTGGTGGTCTTCGGGAAGTTTCGTCGTTATCGATGACGCATGTATGGTTTTCGTATGTTTTCGTGATGGATGATGGCTGGATGGATGGCGTGATGGACTGTGCGGCTTTCCTGTTAGATATGTAAAATCATATGCTTTAAAGTTAAGCACGGGTACTCGCCGCACCTGCCCACAAATCGTGCTGGCGCGAAGGTGTTCGCATGCGAACGACAACCCTCTGCGCGGCCGCGGGGTGTCGCGACGCTTGCGGGTGGGAGTTCGTATTTTCGTCCGCGAACGACAATCCTTTGCGTGGCCTCATGTGGCCGCGGCGTGTCGCGACGCTGGCGCGTGGGAGGCGTGCGCATTTTCGTCCAGGAACGACAACCCTCTGTGTTTTCGCAGGGTGCGATCGGCAACCCTCTGCGTGTAGGGTTAGGTTTACAGCGACGCACTTGGCGACTATTTTTTAGCGGAGGTGGTTTTCGTGAAGCTTCTTCATTGTCGTTGACGCATGGATAGATGTCGTCATGGATGTCGTCATGGATTCGTCGTCATGCATTCGTCATGGATGTCGTCATGGATATCGTGCCGCCGAGCAGCGGGGGGGGCCTTCTTGGGATCAACTTGAAACCAAGATTTCACGTGAAGGCCTTCTTGGGCTCAACCTGAAACCAAGATTTCACCGGAGGGGACTTCTTTTGCCCAACTTGACAGCCTAATTTCATCGGAGGGGCTGTTTTTGGGTGCAACTTGAAGCTCAAGGTTTCGACGGCGGGCCTTTTTGGGTTCAACTGGAAACCAAGATTTCGCCGGAGGGGCTTTCTCGGCATGAACTAGAAACCAAGATTTCACTGGCAGGGCCTTGTTGGGCCCAACTTGGAACAAAGATTTGACTGGAAGGGCCTTCTTGGGCCCAACTTGAAAACAAGATTTCACCGGTGGGGGCTTTTTTGGGCCCAGCTTGAAACAAGGATTTCACCTGAGGGGCTTTCTTGGGATGAGTTTGAAACCAAGATGTCACTGGCAGGTAGGGAAGTCCGTTCGGCCAGCGTCGAAAAATTTTTCGACGGACCTGTTTTGTGAAAAATCCGATTTAGACTTTAAATTTTCGAGTTTGCTGGCGCATTCAATTTGGAGTTCATTGAGTTTTTCTGCCTTTCTGTGATTTCGGGGGGCAATTTTCTCGACGTCGGCAGGGCGGTCACGTGGCCTGTCCTGAAGGGACGCGCATCGCTCCTGCAGACGCCTCCGGGGCCCTGGGAGATATTAGGGTTTAGGGTTTAGGGTTTAGGGTTCAGGGTTTAGGGTTTAGGGTTTAGGGTTTAGGGTTTAGGGCAGGGAGGCCGGAGGCTCCAAGCTTGCTCCAGCCTTCATCGAGGTTGGTTGGGGGGGGTTTTTAGTCCACGGGCCCCAAGGGACACCGTTTTCCCCCCCCAACTGCGTTGTCGTACAGACGTGATGTCATCCCTACATGTTTGTGTACAGTTTGACTCTTTTCGGAAATTCTTCAACGCTGGACATGGGGTTTCCAGGCTTTTGGCTTCTGCGAGTCTGAAGAGAACGAAGGAGAATTTGGCTGCTACCTAGCGGCGCGCCGCAGTGTGCAGACAACAGCTAACCATGGCAAACAGCCAGCGTTGGGCGTGGGGGATTCTTTCGGGGCCTTGCTACCGTTGGGCCCTGGTAATCCCTGTGCCTCTACAGGGCTCAGGCGAAAAGATCATGTAGCAGCTACTGAGCTACTCCCAACGGCGGAACGAAATCAAACAGGACCTTATCCCTGGTTCAAGCTCTTGGTCTTCTCCACAACGACGAGTTTCAGCACGCGATTGACTAGATGACCAAACTTTTCTTCTCCTCCTCCTCCTCCTCCTGTCGGTTCCGTTCGCGCGAAGCTTGTCTCGTTTTCGCGCTGAGCCTCTTCGTTTTGCGGCTGCACGTTTTTCCGACTAGCTCCTTCGTTTTTCGATTGAGGCTTCCGGACACACGGATTGACCTCCTGTCGCGGTTCCGTTCGCACGTTCGAAGCTTGTCGCATTTTCGCATTGAGCCCCTTTGTTTGATGGCTGCTCGTTTTCTGACTAGCTCCTTCGTTTTTGATTTCGACGCGATTGACCAAAACTTTTCTTCTCCTCCTGTCGCGGTTTTGTTCGCGCGTTCGAAGCTTGTCGCGTTTTCGCACTGAGCCTCATCTTCTTACGGCGGCTGCGCGTTTTCCGAATGTCGCATTCGTTTGTCTCTTGTCGCCTACGTGTTCCGGATTTGGGGCCTTTGGGTGATTTTTTCCTCGGCGTGCGCGGCAATTTGAGGCTTTGGGTTTTGCTGACTCAGCCCGCACGGTTTGCTGAGTCAGCCCTTCGCGTTTTCGGACTGAGGCCTGTGCGATTCTTGAATGTGCCCTCCCGTTGTCTGATTGAAGCTTTCCGTTTTGCTGCCCACGTTTTCTGACTCAACCCTACTGGCACTCGCCCCCAGCTTGCCGGGTTCGGCGGACAGTATTACCGTAGTGTTTTTGCAGTCTTCATACGATTCCTAGGGACAACGGGCATGAACAGTTGCACGAGCCTTCACGAGGTATTGTGGACCTACTGCCTTGGAGAGGGCCTGTCGGGCATCCTGGGCGGCGCGATTCTGGTGAAGGTCCGCTGCGTGCTTTTTTTTTTTTTTACTTTTTATTTTTCTCCATGGACGGATGTTCATGATGCGTGGGCGCACAGGCTTCAGCATATGCTATGCAGTATGGCATAGTTTCCTTTAGTCGATGATGGTGTGCTGTAGTATACCATAACGTGGTATAATTTTTCCTACTATAGTCTGCTATAATCTCTTATAGTATACTATAGTAGACGATCGTATACTATAGTATACTATAGTATACTATAGTATACTATAGTATACTATAGTATACTATAGTATACTATAGTATACTATAGTATACTATAGTATACTATAGTATACTATAGTATACTATAGTATACTATAGTATACTATAGTATGTACACACGTACGTGAAAAAAAGTCTCGGAGGTGTTGTTCATCCTCGCGAAGCACTTTGCCCAGCCCAAGTTTGCGAGCCGGGGCATGGACTACCTGCAGAGTGGCGGTTGCAGAGCTGTTTGAGTATCCCTTTTGTTGGGTTGAGGGTTTAAGGTTTAGGCTTTCCGGTCGCGTCGGTGGCATAATAGTACTGTTACAATGCCACTATAGTACAAGTACTATTCTAGTTCCATTGTAGTAGGTTATCTGATTTGGGCCTTGGGCCGCGTGTCTGAGGTGTGATGCTGGTCTTTCTTCTGTCGGTCGGAATCTTTTTGACGAAGCTTGGCATGTTGAAGTCCCAAAAGGCACTGTCACGCACACGTTCGGGTCGGTTTTCGGGGTTTAAGGTTCAGGGTTTAGAATTCTGGCCCCTGAACTGCTTCGGCCTGTCCTAGGGTTCAGGGTTTGGAGCTTTCAGTGTCAAAACATGGAGGAGGCCGGCAGTCTACCGTACTCTGGGGCTGCCTGGTGCGCTGGCAACCCTTGTGGTGACAGCCCCTCGTCGATTGGAGGGGGGATGGTGCTGCCAGATTCTGCGAGGAACCCTAAACCCTATAAATCCCAAGCCCCAAACCCTAAACTCCATACCACGCCAAGAAGCACTGTTAGAGTCGAGCCTAAACCCTGAACCCTGGACGTTAAACCGTAAACCCGTGGTTCGTCCAGCTACTGTAAACCCTGCACCCTAGAAGCGATAGCCCAAGCCCGCCTAAACATTCGAAAGCTAAGCCCTACATGGCGGTTTCCCAAATTCGGGTTACCTTACTGGGTCTTATCAAACTGGCGTCCAAACTGGCGTCCTACTATTTGCGGGGCAATTTTAGGGGCCCCCTATTTTCGTAAACCTCCATGTAGCCTACAAACCTCAAAGCAAACCCGGGACAAAGTTGGGCTTGCTGCAGGCGCCCTGCTTCGCGGCGATCTTCCGGCGCGACCTTTACAAGTTGGGCCATGCCCTGAGTCGCTTGGCATCTTCTTCGGGTCTTGGTGCAGGGATGGGAATGATTTCGGGAAGCTTGGGGTTTAGGGTTTTTAGGGTCTAGGGTTTAGGGTTTAGGGTTTAGGGTTTCGGGTTTAGGGTTTAGGGTTTAGGGTTTAGGGTTTAAGGTTTATAGGGTTGAGGGTTTAGAGTTTAGGGGTTTTTGGGGCTTGCGGGCTCGCCAGGTGGCAACTCAGAGGGTTTTTGGGGTCAAGGCTTCGAAGCCCTCTGTACGGATGTAGCTTCTGAAGGTCTATTCGGAGGTCTTATTATCATTATTGCTAGAATATTTATTACTACCACTATTAAACCAAAAAAATTGTAATTACTATTATTAATTATTATGATTACTACCATTATTACTATTCTTATTTTTGTTTTTACATTCGTACTCGTTTTGTCACTTGGAGGATGTCTTGGGGTTGACGGACGAAGACTCCCCCACAGGCTTCTTAATACTGCAGTAATATTCTGATAGTGCTAGAATATTACTATACTAGTACTATTTTAGTACTGCAAATAATACAAGCATGGTAAAGCCCTGTGGTCTTCTCGTCTGATCAGGCCGTAAGCCCACAAATCAGACACCGAAACTTTGAGCCCGAAGTGCCATAAGCTGCGGGTGTATGCTATACACTGATATAGTATGGTATGCTATATGTGGCTATAATATAGTAATCTCCTTTAAGTCTAATTTAGTAGTTCGCACTTCGCGTCGGACCCTGCAAGGAGCATGCGTCTCA